TATTTATTTATTTATTTATTTATTTTGTGTCTGTGTGTGGCCAGCTCAGCCCACCAGGGGACGGAGCTGGCTGGCATGTGGTGCTGGGGATTGAACCGCGGTCCCTCTGCTTTGCTTAGCTTAGCTTGTTCTAAGTAGGTGCTTTAGACCACTGAGCCATCTCACCAGCCCACAAGGTAAGCTATTTTAAAAGTGTTTGTGAAAGCTCTGCTCAGCCCATCTTCACCCCAATGCTAGTTGTCTCTAAAGGATAAATTATCCTATCATTTACCATCTGCCATTAGTTGTCATTGTTAGTTCTTACTGTTTGTCTGATACTTGTTTGATTTTGCCTTATTTTAGGTTAGGTGGTTGTATTCCTAGACTGAAATAATTTTTTCTTATTTGACCCTCAGATGTCAGTATTGAACATGGTGGTGAGCCGGAACCCTGGCAACACTGAGTCGGTGAAAGCCAAAGAGGAACTCATCTTCCATTGTGGATTCAGGCGTTTTCGAGCCTCACCTTTATTCTCTCAGCACACTGCAGGTTTGTAGTGGGGAAGCTTCTTGGTTCTTGTCCATTTTAAGAGACTGACTATTGGTGGGGAGGTAAAGAGGAAGGTACAGAATACACAGTTCAAGCATTATTCAGTACTCTTAGGAGCCAATGATGTTCTTATTCATAATGTCTGAACCTATCTGAAGCATCCCTGTGATGCCACCTCTGTTGCTGAGGCTCCTTTGGCATGAATATTTGTTCTTGTAGGTTTTGAATCAGCAGCTTTATGAAAAAAGAATGTGTCAGTGTATGGTGTGGTGTCTGGTGTGCCAGTGCCAGCATGAAGTAACAGCGATAGGGTATGGCCCAGAATTGGGTAAAGTGTGAGTTTCAAGGTGGTGAGACTAGATGAAAATTGGGAAAGTGGTAGCCAGAGACATTTGTGTGGCAAGAATGATTGTGCTCCTACGTTAGGAGTAGTAAGATGTGTTGCCCACTAATTCAATAGCTTTTGAAGATAACCTTAGTTCACTTAGCCTTTAGTACTGGCAGGAGAGATAAAAGCAGAATTAAAGGTGCTCTGGAAAAGTTATCATCTGGCTCTTTGCAATAAATGTTGCCATTCCCTGCTCAAGACTAAGTGCTGATTATTTAGCAGAAGGGTCTCAATTAAGCACTGGTTCTCAAATGAGGTAGGTGTGATAGGCATCAGAATAACCTGGAAAACCTTTTGAAGTTTTGGTTCTCAAGATTTCTGTCTTTGGTTGAAATATGACAGGACTGGCTTACAGATTTTTAGTAGTACTGAGATAGGTAAGATTTTTAAGAATTAGTAGGGCAAAAAAAACATAAGCTACTTTCACTTTGAGTTGAGTTTTGCTTGGGGTTGGGATATAGCTGAGTCCTTGACTAGCATGTGTGAAGCCTTGAGTTCAGTCCCCAATACTGGAGAAAAAAAATGCAGTGATAAGGTTTTTCCTATGGTTTCTCACAATGTTTTGTGGCTCTTTTCTTTTTTAACTTTTATAATTGCAGCGGATAAGCACAAATTTCAGAGATTTCTAACTGCTGATGCAGCCTTGGTAGCAACAGTATATGCACCAATTACTTTTCCTCCTGCATCTGTGCTTCTTTTTAAGCAGAAAAGCAATGGTGAGTTGAGTTCATGTAAGTGAACAGTTCTACCATCTTTAATAGGATTATCACTTTGTATTTTGATTTGGGAACCAAACAGTATGGAAACTGTAATGAGGGTTT